ATAAAATTTTCATAAATGAAACGAAGGCTCATCCTTATAAAAAAAAATAGACTAAATATACGGACCAGACACAAATTATGAACTTTTTCTGTCAGTGACCTTGGATTAATGGCAAAGTCATGACAGAAAATCAGATAATAAGCAAGGTTTGTGTGAAGTAGTAGATATGGACCAGACACAAATAATAAATTTTTTTCTTCAAGTGGCTTTGAACTTCCCCAAATGATTTTGTGTCAAGGTCATGACACACTCTTAGGTCAGGAGCAGTCTTTGTGTGAAATAAGAACCTACCAAGTTCATCCATAAAAAAGATATGGAGCGGACACGAATTATGAAATTTTTCTTCAATGACCTTGAAATTCCCAAAATGACCTTGGTTCAAGGTCATGACACGCCCTTAAGTCATGGGCAGTCTTTGTGTGAAATTAGAACATACCAAGTTTATCCATAAGAAAGATCTGGACTGGACACGAATTATGAAATTTTTTTAGTGACCTTGAACTTCCCTAAAGGACCTTGGCTCAAGGTCATGACACAATCTTAGGTCATGGGCAATATTTGTGTGAAATAAGAACATACCAAATTAATCCATAAAAATGATATGGACCGGACACAAATTATGAAATATTTCTTCCAGTGACCTTGAACTTCCACAAATGTCCTTGGTCCAAGGTCATGACACACTCTTATTGCATGGGCAGTCTTTGTGTGAAATGAGAACCTACCAAGTTTATCCATAAGAAAGATATGGACTGGACACGAATTATGAAACTTTTTTCAGTGACCTTGAACTTCCCCAAATGACCTTGGGTCAAGGTCATGACACACCCTAAGGTCATGGGCAATCTTTGTGTGGAGTAGTAGATTCTAATGTTCCTCATTAAGGAAGATATGGACCGGACACTTTTGCACAGACAGATGGACAGAGGGACAAGCTGATTCCTATATAACCCCAAACTTCGTTTTTTTTGGGAGGGGGGGGTAATAATAAAGTTGAATATTCCAGGGATCCAGATCCCCTTTGATCCATGCATGCCTTACCAGAATTTGTTCAAAAGTAATCCGAAATTTGCCCAAATGTTTTTAGTTGGCTTACTTTCGATTTTTCTCTCTCTCTATACATGCGTATTTCTCTAGACTTTAACTAAAGCATTTAAAAATATTTGTTGTTTTGGTTTTTATAAAATTATTTTACGTATAAACATACATGTAGTTATTGGGACCGTGGGGGGGGGGGGTCAAAGATAGACATCATATAGGTAATAAACATTTGGGGGTAGATTTAGCCCCCCCCCCCTTTTAAGCAAGCATGTTGCAGTGTAGTCGAATAAGGGTAAGTGGTAGTGTTTGATAGAAAAAAAATGGTACTGAAAGAAGTTCGATCCCCCTCCCATGAAATAGGATTTCATGTTTGGACCCCCCTCTTCACTTTTAATTTGCTTCCGACACGAATTTTGTTATGACCCTAGAGTTTTATCTCCTTTTTAAAGACTTGATTTTCATGGCAATAAGCTGTCATACATTGGTATCAGTGTTTGAAAAAGATTTCTTGTTACGTTTTAAAATACTACTACTACTAAAAATTAACTTGTCTTTATGAGAGGATGGGGAGTAACTTTAGTTACAGAAATGGCTTTGCTATTAATAGGCGTTTAAACAAACTAATATTGGTCAGAAATACACATTATTAGCTTAATGAAAGATCGAACAGAGAAAAGGTATTATTCCTTCATTCAAGAATACTTTGTGGCAAGTTAAATTGGAATTAACCCAGTGGTTCTTGATAAGAAAATGAAAATATAAAAAAAATTACAATGAGAACGACAACGACTGACAAGGCACAAATGATCATAAAAGCTCACTTGAGCCCTTATTTTAAAACATGTGTTACTATAAATAGAAATGGAAACCCACCTTATTATGCATTTCGCTTACTGCTCTCTTGTACGTGTCGGTTACATTATGTCAGTTACAGCTAATGAAAGTTTGACTGCAATTTCCTATCCCTAATTTGAGAAAATAGAATGATTCTATATTTTCTTGATTAATTGCTGAATGTCTATTTATAACTATACGTTAGTATAGGTAGAAATGGAAAAATACCTTTACACATTATTCTTATACATTTTTGCTAAAGCTTTTTCATGCTCGTTAGTCACCTTCTGTCAATAACAAATATCAGCCGTTTGTCTGCATTATCCATTCCTGATGTTAAGAAAAATGCAAAAGTCTATATTTTCTCAAGAATTTGAGTATGTCTATTTTCAAACATGTGTTACTATAGATAGAAATTAAAACCTCTGCTTCTCATTCTGTATTTCGTATATGCTTATTTTTACTTGTTGGTCACCATATTCCAATAGCAGTTAAAAACATATAGTCTGCAATTGTTCATCCAAAATGTGAGAAAAAAGTACAAAAAACGACATTTTTCCGATATTTTGCAGTTCGTCTATTTTTAAACATGTGTTACTATAAATAGAAATGGAAACCACTGCTTCTCATTTTGTATTTGATATAAGACTTTCTTTGACTTTGTTGTCACCATATGCCAATAGCAGTTAAAAACAGATAGTCAGCAATTATTCATCCAAAATTTTAGAAAAAAGTACAAAAAACGACATTTTCCCGATATTTCGCATTACATGTACGTCTATTTTTAAACATGTGTTACTATAAATAGAAATGGAAACCTCTGCTTATCATGCTGCATTCCACTGAATGTTCTTTTGTTCTTGTCAGACACATAATATCAGTTACATTTAATGACAGTAAGTCGGTAAATTTCCCATCTCTAATTTGAGAATTGGTGGAAAATCAACATTAAACAGTTAATTTCATATGTGTCTATTTTTAGACATTTGTACTATTTATAGAGATGAGAGCCTGTCCTCAGTAATTTGTGAGATATCATACTATTCCTTGTTCTTATTGATGAAATATTGGAGAGATCCATATTTTTATCATTTATGATTCAGTGGAGCTTCAAAATGATGGAAAATTGACATTTTTCATCATTTTATGAGACATGTCTATATTTAGGCATTTGAAGCTATAAATAGAAAACGGAAATCCCTGAAAATAATATGCATGGTAGTTATTGGTGTCCAGTCTCTGACATTAGCATATTGACTTTTACAGTATATTTCATAATTACCTAGCAATGGCATCTTAAACTCTGCCCAAATTTCATTTTTTGGATTTTTCTGAAATATGTCTGTTTTTAGATACATGTTACTAAAAATAGCATTGAGATCCCACCCCAATTTTTTCATGAGGGGACACTACTAATACTGACGTTTGACGACACGCATATGATTTGAAAAATTTCCGTAGACAATTTTTTTTATTTAACCTTAAATTTCTCAAAAAATGCCAAATTTTCCATTTTTCACATTTTGAGAAACTATGCTATTTTGCAGAACCGTTTTCTAAGAGTGGGGTCAATTCTGGAATAACTGGTTACATGCCCTGTATTCTTTAACAGTTGATGTTTTCTTATGATACAAAGATTTATATTTGAGTTCACTACATAAAGATAAAAATGCATTCATATTTCCTCAATTTTCATGTTTTTGTTTGGTCAAAAATGGCCGAAAATGGCCAAATTCAATGGATCCGTCTCCATGGCAACCGGGTGCACGTGGAAAACTTCTAACACCATATTTGCTGGTTTTGTACCAAGGTGCACCTGTGGTGCAAATTTCATCAAAATCGGAGATATGTCGTTTCCAAGCCCTATAGTAAATTTTTTGGTGCTTACAGAGAATGCATGTTAAATGTCAAATTTATGATAAAACATTCACATCTTTCCGAGAAATACCACAGGCACCTGAAATATGGATAATAACCCCCCCTTTTTTTTGTTAATGAAAAAAAAAAGTAAGAGTGTGTAATATCTCAAAAATATAAAATTTCCACGTCAAACACATCTATATGTCGTTATATGCAAGCAGATTGTACGTTTTCTCACATTTAGAGAATGACCCTATTCGGTATAATAAAAATACTGAATAGGGTCATTCTTTAAACGTGAGTAAAAGTACAATCTGCTTGCATATAACGACATAAGATGTGTTTGACGGGGAAATTTTATATTTTTGAGATATTATACACTCTTACATTTTTTTCATTTACAAAAAAGGGGGGGGGGGTATTATCCATACTTCAGGTGCCAGTGGAAATACTTCGTCCATTAAGCCAAAGGTCATATTACAAACATGATTTAAATGTCCAAATTCATCATGAGCAAAGTAGCATCGTGGTTAGCGCGTTTGTCTTATTTTTTATTGCTAGGGTTCGAATCCCACGAATACCGTCTAATATTTTTATAACGGAAAAAATACGACATTTTTTTCTCTCAGAAAAGGGTTTTTTCCTCATGATTTCATAAATTTCAATAATGAGTTGTTAATTTGATACTGAATTGACATATTGATTAACATTTCTTAATATCTGACGCTATAGGCATTCTGCCCGCCTTGTTCCCCCCATCTTCTTTCGAGTTATATAGAAACGTTTTTAATCTGTGGGTTTCGGCAAGACTGAGAAATATACATAGGGAGGGTATTGATTTTCAGAAACTATTGAAGTTATGTTTTTGAATTAAAGGCGTTCCGTGGTCATTAAAAACATGTTGATTTTGAAATAAAGTGCATATACAGTATCATGGTTTTTATTTTAAATCTCATAAAATGAAACTTCAAACAAAACAACAAAATACATCATAATGTATTCATTTATGATAATTCGCTCATTTTAAATATCTTGGCAATATTACATATGTATAAGGAAGATAGGCAAGGTCCCTCGCATAAAGAAATATACACATATTTTTCCCTTTACTGTATTCCAGTTTACGAGGCTGTGAAAATTGATCACCCGCATATATGTATATATCTAAAATGTGATTTAACCACCAATTTTTATTTACATGTATATTCCTGTTATATAACTATATCAATCTATAGTGATATATCCGGTCTGTTGTCCAACTCACGTGGCTAAAGATAAAGGATTTTTAAATGTGAGGATTTCAGCAGTACTTTAATTTACATTTGGACTTAATTTGTGTTTTGGTTTATACTTAGAACGTATCTTTAAATTTAAATGTGAAACATTCAGCATGCAGAACATTTGAGTATACCGCTTTGCATTATGGCTTATCAAAGTATACTCTTTCGGTTGCACTTTTCAACTTTGAGCAACATTGTTGCCGGACTTCCATTTTTCGCAACCTTATTTTGTGTTATCTGGTCGGTGTTATTCAATTTCAAGGAATCTACCGCAACACATTGCCGGGTAAGTTAATTTACATGGTTTGGAGCTTAATTTTTGGTCTCTCTGAACTGTAAACCCACTCATAAGTACGCAGGTAGTAAAATATATAATATAGAGAGATATATAACGAGGAGTGATCAAATCCAAAAAGCTCAATAAAACAATACAAAGGGAGCAGAGCAAACATGGATCTCTAAAAACACGGGTGGGATTAGGTGCCATGGAGGAGTTAGCATCCTCTCCCGACCAGTCAAACCCATTATGTGCTCCTTGTCGTAATCAGACGAAAAATGTAACGTACATATAACCAGAAGGTGTCTCTTAGACTTAACCTTGTGTCACATACTGTAGAGTCAATTAAGGATAAGAGATGATTGTGTCATTTGAACAGATCCAAGTTCACAGAAGAGACTGAACACTTATTGCCGTTTAAATAAATGTACACATGTACAGTTCATTTGATGGAGGAATTGTTAAGCTTTTCTTTCCACGATGAAGGCTTGGTTCAAGAACATAAACCAATTTGATTTGTTCAAAATATAAAGAAAAAGAACAATTCTGTCTCATTTCTGTTTCAAATGCCTGATTTAAATTGATGTTTAAATTTCTTTTTAAAGTCCAAACAGTACAAGTCGAAAATATAACCAAGTAAGTGAACTATCTGCTCTTTATTTGCATTAATTTATTTTCAGGTAGCCAACTACCTACCGTCCATAAGTGCAGCAATTGGTGGATACATTCCTCAGAGAAATGTATGGAGAATCTGTATTGCCCTTCACGCTTTTCCACGATTCCTCATAGCTTGTGCATATTACCGCTACCATATGCGATTTGTAGTAGAATCCTGGAGCAATATTTATACCATTTTAGCTGGACTATGTACTTTATTACATACTGTGGAGAATTTTGCTCTTGTCATTCTAACGTATATATCCTCCCTCGACGATAAAGGTTTGTTTTATTCTATAAATTGCTTCTAGATGAAGGGTTTAATACCTCGATCGAGCTTTTGTCGACAAAAATTCTTCGTTGTTTTAATTGTGTAGTTATTCAGTCTTCAAATTTTTGAAGATCAGATGCAGTATGCGATAATTTTTTCCCAAATCTTTATGTATTATTAACTGAAACTGTATTCTTCTAATGGAGAAGTGTAATAAGACCGTAATGATAATTGAAAAAAAAGTGTTCATCGTTGCCAGCTTTTAAAGAGTAAATGGAACTATCAAATTCTACAACTGAATCATTATCTCTGCCTAGTGTAATGGTAATTTAATGATTCTCATAATCGACTTGGGATTTAAATTATTTTGTGTTTCTATCTGTCTCAATATACGTCCTGGTTTTGTGAGACCCAATTGAATTTAAATAATTGACTATTTAAGGGTGTTTGACATTAAATATGTGTCAATATATTACATTTCGGTTTATTTTGCGTTTTATGTTTATTTTATGTCTGTCTGAATATAATTATTAGAGAAAAAAATAAATAATTTATTGCTTAATTTCGTATTATAAAAAAAACCATAGTTTATCGATGTTCATAAATAGAGGCTAGGTCTTGTTTTTTTTTTTTTTTTTTTTTTTTTTTTTTTTAACATATCATGTGCTATTTACATGTATATACGTCTGTTTTTATTTACCAATTACAAGATTAATAAAATAATAATATAAATATTTTTACATAACTTTACATTTCAGAGATTCATGAAAACATGTTTGTATTATTTATGGTCACATCTGAGATCTACATGTTGTTGACATGTTTTCTGTACCGATGGGGCCATTCAGGCAAAGGACGGGATATGACTCCTAAAGTGAGTAAATATTGTAATCTACAATACAAACAATACCACGTGTGTGACACATGTATCTTAATCCAGGTCCGCAAAATAATTCTAAATAAGGCCCTAACACACAGGAATAGATTACTTACATGTATATACCCACGGTTTCATAATACTGCATTCATATACTATAGATGACTAAATTTTCGCGACACCTTACTTTCGCGAGATAGTCATTGACTCTTTATTGGGGAGACATAATTTTCACGAATTGTTGTTACATGTATTCCTCTATATAACCGTAAGGAATACTTTTATACGTAAGGATATGAAATTTCGGCGGGCTCATTGTCTTAGTAATTACACGAAAATAAAGTTCTTGCGAATAAAAAGTGATTTACAGCATATTAAATAGGGGTCATATTATAAAATGTGACAAAACTTAAAAACTGTGATATTATAAATTGAAGTCCTTAATGTAATGATGTACTTTCATAATCAAGCAAACAACAGGACTGATGGAGAAAAAATCTATATACTTTTCTTAAAAGGTCAGAAACTAATTAATTTCATTTTAAAAATAGATTGTGAAATTGTTCTGGACAACCCACCCACCCACCCCTATCTACCCCCTTCCAAAAACCCGAAGAAAATACGTGTAATAAAAATAACACGCGCATTTTTTCTCATATAGAGTTATCTTTTAAAAATTACAATTTAATTTTCTTTATTGCATAATACACCCACGTGGGTCAAGCAAAACATTGAACAATATATGCGCTGCATTTCATTTCCGGAAATATGCATAGCATTTCCGACAATTTTTTATTTCATTTCCGACATTTTTTGTTTTCATTTCCGACATAATATTTCTTTCATTTCCGGAATTTACCTGTGCGGCAATTCAATGTTTTCTTGAAGTATCTATACCAAAATATTGATACAAAATAATAATAATAAAAAATAACTTTACATATATGCATATATGTAGCACTAAGACTAGGTAAAGGAGTTCAATGTGCATAAAACTTTTTCAACACATATAATGTGCACCAAATAAAATGTCAGTGACAGCAGCATACTTATGTCCAAGTCTTTGATAGATTTACAAAACTGGATTTCAATGATTTATTTCTGATTTATTCCTTAAAAATTTTCATAAGTTAAGTTATCATATCTGTTACTAATAGGTACTATATATGTATTTGAAAAATGTCGGAAATGAAAACAAAAAAATGTCGGAAATGAAAACTAAAAAATGTCGGAAATGAAAAGTTGATAATTACCAAATATTCCGGAAATGAAATGCAGCCAATAAATGACAACAAAACAAAGTTGAGGAAAAGATAGGTCAGGGTAAGATAAACTTTTACCATGCAGGAACAATATGTATTAACCGTAATTAGTAATTAATTTTTTTTTCAGCCTTTTGTTCTAATATTCTCTCTTTTATTATAATAAGCTTTTTTGGTGTCCCTGATAATACACTTGAACATATATTTCTTCCAATTAAAATGCACATTTCCTTAAACAATTAAAAAGTCCGCACACACCCCCCCCCCCCCCCGCCCCACTTGCATGTGAATATAAGCTCTAGATCTATAAATAAATAATTCTTCTCTCCCCATTTAAGTGGGAGGGGGAAATGTCAAGCCTTCTTAAACGAACAGAAATTAATTGCAAAAAAGACCCAATTAAGGGTGTGGGCTTGATGAGATGTCTACTGCTTGAATACTGTCTTCAACAATCCATTATTCTCAGGCAACTTTTTACACAGTCCCAGCTTATATTAATTTCATGTGGTATGATACTGTGAGTGTGGGGGGGGGGGGTGTTACATCGTAGAAATTATCCATAATATAAACCATTTTTTTCTTTTACAGGAAACTAAATCCTACCATTATAAAATTGCCTTATTTATCTTCAATCTCTCCATTTTCCTGATGGCAGTTTACATGTACTTCAGGCATAACTGGTATTGCGAGAGTGGAGGTTGGTTAAATATTAAAAATACATTTAAAACCTAGCTAAATTTTTTTTAATAATCTTGATTTCATCATTCCTTGTTGTCTGATATGATTTGATTTCTTTTGTATTTTAGTATACACTGGATTCGCCGCCTGTGAATATTTGGTGGTATTTTCAAACATTGCTTTTCATTACACTGCCAAGTTAGACTTTCACGACCAAGTCATGACTCTGGGAGGAGAATCTCATCGAACTTCAAAGGCAGCTTAACAGATATTTTCTACAACATTTTACTGTGTTTAACATGGCAAATAAAATATTTTTAAAATGTTTTAAAAGTATTTACTTCAATTTATTACGTTTAATTTTAAAGAGAGTATTTGCTGGTTTGTTCAGTCCCAAACAACTTAATATTAACGGTAAGGAATGTTCCTAAATAGGGTACCCGAGATGCACCCCCAGGAAATTAACCTTGAATTATCAAATATCTCAAATGGTTTTTACAAACTTCTTTCACGCCGGGACCATGATCATATAATTAAAGACTTATCCGCGTTCGTGTATTTAAATTAAAAATGCACAAAATTAATTC